GTTTTTAATGGCTTGGCTCGACTCACTTTAGCTCGAGCCAAAATTTTTTATGGCTCAGCTCATTCCGGCTCAGGCCAGAATTTTTTTTTTGAGCCAAGCTGAGCCAGACTGTGGCTCGGCTCAAGCCAGCTCGTGCGGAGCTTTAAAGGAGAAAGTAGCATTTTCTATCTGAGTCATAGGATCTTAGGAACGCATTATAAAACCAGAACTGGTCAGCTGTAGATAAAGCGAAACATTCCCAATTCTTGAAGTCAATCGGCGAAAGGCTCTATTTACCGTTTGCAAGTTGTATGTTGTATAAAAAGGCAGACTCTAACATCAGATGTCTATTGTCATGACTTAAATGTTTGAACACTGTAAGCTGCCAACCATCATCATTCCCATTCAACCTAACAAGGTAAGCTCTATCCAAATTTATAAGGGAAAGTAAAGAAATAATGCTATAACTATATCTAAAAAATTTTACTAAATAAATGTAGTGAATAATAGAAAAAAAAATTAAAAGATGAACAAAAAAGAAAATCTGGGTGCCATAATATTGAAGTTTGTTTTTATCCTACTTTCTCTAAGGTGTATATGCATAATCGAAAATGAGATCTAAGGTCTTTATCAAAGGTTGTTTAAAGAAAAACCAGATTCAGTTAGTTCCACAATATCGGATAAAGGATGGACCAAACATTATACCAAAAAAACCATCAAAATTCCATAAAAAGTAATCCGTTTTGTAAGTTGTTTCAAAATAGAAGTTTTCTTTCAAGTTGTGAGTTATTTGTTGTTGTGCTAGCAATTTGCGAAAAGCAACCAAAAACACGTCAAATTTATAATATGATTTGATCTAAAATTCTTCAGATGGTGTCCTAATCGGAAGTCTTATGACTTGATGAATAGAAAATACTGACGGGTATGAGTAAATAATAGGCATTGAAGAAGGTGTAGAAGGAGGTAAAGGTATGTATAGTTTAAAACATTCGAGTAAGCTAGTTAAAATCTCCTAGAGATAGTATTGTGTATAATGCTTAAGTTGTTGTAGAGCTGTCACGTATTTCTTGATAGCCTGGTTGAGTATCTTGAATAGCAAGAGTCCGTTGGTGTAAAGAAAATGGTTGTGGAGAAAGTCCACAAAATCTTTATTATTTAGAAGTTCGTTGATTATTCTTTCCATGTCCAAGGTTTATTTATTCCGCTTAAAAAAGATAGTTTAAGTTTGTCCTCATCTCGTCATTATCCAAAGCTTGCTTATTCTGGACGGTACGCCTCTCCAAACTGTCTTGAGTCCAGAAACCTCACAAAGAAAAGAAAAACGCGTAAGATAAGAAAAAGGTGAAGAAAAAAATTTTCTAACTCTAAAATAAACCACTACAGGTTCTTTGCTATCAATCAAGGCTATGCTTGAAGTGTATAAAATAAAATAAAAGTGTATAAAATATAAGCGAAAATAATAAAAAAATAAAAAAAATTATATTGAAAAAATATGGTCTAGACGTTTAGCGGAAAGAGTTCAAAAAAAAAAAAAAATTTATATTAAAATATAATATTTTTTAAAGAAATTTATAATATATGTATAATATAATTTCATATATTTTTATAATAAAACTATAATTTTATATAATTAAAATTTAAACTTAAAAATTATTACTATATAGTTTAGTTAATGACAAAACTGAAACTAGTTGGTGATAAAACTGAAATTTTTGGCAAAAAGAGTTTAACTAGGTATCACTATAGCATATACAGAATTATTCTATATACTGCTAAATAGATTTTTCACTTTATAATATAAATTTAGGTTTAAAAATTAAAGTAAATTCATTCTGTTTCAAATATAAATTAGGGGCGTGCCAGAAATCAGCTGATTTGAAAGGGGTGGGGGAGTCGGCCATCCTTAACCTGATCCACCGGTCCAGATGCTTATTCTGGACCAGTCAACTTTTGATTGGCTAATCAGCCCTTTTATTACATAACTCCGGCATAATTTATTTTATCTCTTACTCTTCCTATCTTTCACTCTTTCTCTATTCTTTTTTGTGGTATGTTAGTACTTAGTATTTCATATTTCATTTCAGTTTGTATATTTTAATTTTAGTTGTATTTATTGTAGTTTTATGATAATACTAAATGTTTTTTATTTTCTTTTTGAAGAGTTTTATGATATATTGATATTATTCTGGAAATCAAGTGTTTTTTTTTTAAGTTTTGGGGTTAAGCAAAGTTGTTCAAAAAAGGTTGTAAATTACACATTTATAACAAAACTTTTAAAGCTAATATAATACTATTACTTTGTACTTTTGTTTTGATATTAACGTTAAAATAATTTTAATAATAAAATTACAGTAAAAAATAATGTAAAGACCTTTTTTATAAAGTTATATATGCAATTTTACTTATTTATTAATAAAGTTTAATAAAATGCATACCAAAATACAAATTTTAAATAACATATTAC